GAAAATCAATAACTTTATTGAATCTTTTCAATAGGGCGTACTCTGGGCGTAGTAGTAGAGCAAGAACAGCGACCTGCAGTCTCCAGCATCGCCTTTGAAGACGCCGCCTTCGAAGCATTTCGGATGAAAGAGTCTCGTCAGGTGTCCGGTGCCACAGCCCCGACCTCGTCCGAGGCTCCGCCACTGGCTGGACACAGCGGCGTCGGACAAAGCTTTCAGTGACACCCCGCGTCTCTCCAATTCGGCGACCATGAACGCAATCTCTGTGCAGCAGATGCCATTGCTGTAGTAATCGTGCATAGTGTCTGTGAGAGATGAACTGAACGGAAGGCGCGAACGTGCTTGCGCGGAGAACATCAGGCCCTCCGGAATCAGGCGTAGACCACACGCTTGCTCTTTCTTGACGCGGGCCACTTTGGACAGAGGCTGTTGTAGAGATTCCACAAGCTGGCTATAAGCTTCGTCCGTTCTCCGGTTGAAGCGAGTCATGTCGTGTTCGGCAATTGTCACAAAGCCATGCGGTTTCACCGTCGCATGTCTACTCAAAACATTGCTGCAATGCCCGCAAGGCAGAAGCCCTTGCGCTTCCTTTGAGGCCGTATATCTCTCGTTGTGCCTCATGGTCATAGAGCAGAAACGATCGTTTGGCAAGGCGGAGCGTCCGGGCACCGTGGGGAAAACGTACAGCAAAGCCTTGCTCGTTGGAGTGACTATGTAGAGACAAAACGACGTGGCGCAGGAGGCATGAGAGTCCCCCGTCTATGCAGTCCAACTGCGTTCTCTGGACAAGACAGATGGGGATCCAGCACTCGACGCAATCTATAGTTCGCCAGAGACACCGAAATGAACAATAGATAGTGGTCGGCTTCTTCTTTTTGATGGGCGCTAGAATGTTGCCGCATGTCACGTCATCAGCGTATAGAATCGCTTCTAAGGTGTCTCCCTCAGAGACACGAAGAAACAGTTCTCGATCCCACGCAGGGACTTTGCTGACGAGGTAATTCAGAATACGGCTTAGATCTGCAATGTAAACGCCCTGCTGCGGCCCATCTCCCGCACTGGGGAGCACATGCAAATCATAACACTCCCTCGCAACAGCCTGCTCGCGATCGAGACCGCGCCGTGCCTTGCCAGGACCTATTCTGTGTCCACTGTCCACGGCTGCGTTCCAAATAGTCCACGTGTCACGTCGACTAGCGTGAACGGAACGGAACGCGTCTTGAAAGGCGTGGTGGACGTCCTCCGCCTTTCTTTTGCGACTCATGGCCATGGTCCCCTCTTACATGACCACGGTATACCCCTATATATATAAGGATACATAAATTCGAGCCGAAAGGAAACATTTACACGCAGCACTCCGAAAAAAAAAAAAGCAGAACGAACAAAGCAACCGACTTGAGAACAAGATCCATCCAAGCACTCGAATTGTTTTCCACGCAGTATATACATCTTCGGTAGCTTCATTTCATCGATGCAAGGTAGCCAACAAATGAATTACTTTGTCATGCACTCGCGCCAGATGAGGAATCGAAATCGAAAGCGCCCGCAGATCCGTCGACGCAGACAGAACTGCGTTGAAGCTCCGCCCGCGCAGGGCGGAGCGTGTCTCGCACCACCTTCAAGGCTTTCCCCATATGGATGACGCATGTGGACAGCTCACCGTCCCATGACATCCGAGCTTCCAATTCAGCCTCCAATGGTTCCAGGACGTCGACGGTCTCTTCAGCCAAGCCAGATTTCATAGGCAAGGATTCTTGCTTTGCAGAGGTCTCATCCTCGGAGGAGTCGACCTGGACTGGACCCATGTCAGCAAACATAGTGCGCAAATTGTGGTGGACGCCAACGTCCGCAAAGCGAGGACCGTAGAGATGCACTCGCTTGTTCGATATCAGAACTCCGTGTATCTCCTCACCATGCCGGGCGCTTTGCGCTTGCGCTCCGACAACGGAGCGTGCCGAAGGCGCTGTGTCATGTGGTCCTACACAGACAGAAAGCCGTGCGACCCACCCAACCAAAAAACTACAGGGGCTGCGGAGATGCATCTACATATTATATATAATATCAAACAAACTCTCGAGACGTTGATCGAACCGGGATGAGTGCGACGTGGCTGTCGAAGCGGCCTTTCTTGCCACGAAAGCCGTCCATCCGGCAAGTATACAGATACGGCGGCAATACGCATATTGCCGCCCAGAGCCTACCTAGCAAAATTAAAAGTCCCCAGTCACTGCTTCTGCTCTTGCGCTTCCTTCTCCTCGGCCAGACGGTCTTTCTGCGCCTTGATGGTCTTCCTCGTCTCGGAGAGGAGGGACTTGATCGCCTTGACGTGGTCTTTCAGCTCTGTCGCTTTGAAAATAACCGGGAGGGAAGCGGTACGTGGGCCGCGACGTGGTTTCCCGCCATAACCACGTTGTTGGCCGCAGTCTTCTTCTCCTGCGTGTCCTGCAGAGCTGCTTCTATCGACTCTACAGGCAAAAATAGCTTCTGTGCCTGAGTTTTCACGGTGATCAGGGCCTTGACTTGGGGCGTCAATGCTGCCAAAGCTTTGACTGCTTCTCCTAGCGTGCGTTCATTGTCCTTGTCCGTCTTCTGGTTCGTCTTTGCGAGTCGCTTCGCCTGGGCCGCCTGCGTCTCTTCGGCTGCTCCGCCCTTGGAGGCTTTTCCTTTCGCCTTTGCAGCGGCAGTTGTCTTCGGCTGTGGGGCGGCCACGTCCCACTCGTCTTCCTGCGCGTCCTCCACTTCCTCCTCCTTCTCGTCGGTCTTTTTGCGCTTGCCGGACTTTCCTGGCTTCTTCGTGATGGCCTTCTCGCGAAGCAGCATCTCTTCCTCGACCTTGGTGCGGAGACATCGGCAGGGCCTCAGCCGTCACATTGGTCTCAGTGGAATCCATCCTGGATTTCACTTCCGTGTGGATCACCACCGTCTTGACAGTCTCCCAGGAGTACCGGTCGTCTGGTGCGGTTGCCCCTGCCTTGCGAAAGAAGTCTTTCTTTTGGTCTTGAGTCCACTTGTCCAGCGTCCCGGCGCCGACGTTCCTGTACAGCAAGCTTTGCAGCGTCAAGCACGGACGGCACTGAAAGGTCTTGCCTTTCAGCCTGCCGGGCTCTTCGGGCAGGTCGCGCCTGCACAGCTTGCAAGTGTTGACAGCGCTCAGCTGTTCAACCTCAGGGATCGGGACCTCACAGGGCTGTTCCGCCATCGGGTGTATATAAGAGCGCCTCCGAGCGCCAGGGGGATAGTATATTCCGCGTCTCTGAGCCAGTAAGCTGAAAAATCTACGTTTTCCGGGATTTTAAACGAGAACGTCGGACCGACATTGGCCGACATCGCGATCTACTAGGTTTACGGTAGCTCTAGAACGCGGGCCCTAGCTAGGTAAGTATGGCCGACGTTGGCCGACATAGGGTCATCCGAGACGTCTAAATCGACGGTCCGACATCGACCGACGTTGGAGTACTTCAAAAACATATATCTTTATGAACATATATAGATAATTTTTTCACGCACATATATAGGTATATATACAGACGCGGAGACAGGAACGAACGAGACGCTGCCCTCCCGCGCGCTTTCTTTTTCTCAGGCGCGCGCGCGCGCGAGTCCTGTGCGCGTCCTATATCTCGGCGCCGCCGTCTATAGCCGCGCTCTTCGCCCGACCTGGACATAGATCGCCCGACCCCCTCGGGGGGGTTCCGCCGGTTCGCGCAGAACCCCTGTCGCTGCTCGAACTGGTGTCCTTCCTCTTCTTGGGCCGCCGCGCAGGCGGCGACGGAGAGGATGAGACAGGCTGTGGCTTCGCGCGCTTCTTTTTCGGCTGCTTGGGCGCGGTCTTGCTCTTCTTTCTCCAGAGCTATGACCGGGTCCACAACCACATCCTCGTACTCGTCCCACCGCATGTGGCGGCGCTGTGCAGCAGCTGCCCTCTTCTCGCAGCTTGCACACGCACCCTTCTGGAGGCGACTCTCAGGCGCCAAAGCATTCCACGCTTGCCAGGTCAAGCGCAAGAGATTGGATCCCTTGTGCTGCTGCTGGCCGCTGGCGTGCCCCGTGGTCCACTGGTGACAGATGTCGCACTTCACCCGCGACCCTGCGCTAGACCCTCGCGGTTTGCCTTTCGTACTTTGCGGCTTGCCTTTGCCGGCCCTGTGGTCTCCCTTGCGTGTTTCTGCCGGCGGCTTCTCTCCTCGGCGCTTCTCTGCGCTCCTTCCCCGGCGCTCTGCCTCGTCTTCTTTCCTGTCCTTCTTGGAGTGTTTCTCCTTAGAGCGCCCTTTGTGTTCCTTTTCGGAGCGTTTGTGCTTCGAGTGACGGTGGCTGTCCCTCGAACGCCTCTTGTCGGCCTTTTTGTCCCTTTTCTCTTCCTCGGCCTCCTCGTGCTCTGGAGAACGAGGCTTCAGGACAGGTCTCTCGGCCTCCTCCGACTCGCTGCCTTCTTCGTACTCGCTCGCGTCCTCGGACTCGCTCTTCTCCTCGCTCGCGGCCATCACCTGCCAGCGGGGGGTGCTCTATATATATATATATACACAATACATATAGATACACATTAACGGGTACTGTGAAATTGGTAGCGGGCCAACCTCAACAACAACAGGTGGAAACCCCGTTTCCAGTGAAGCCCTGCTTCAAGAGGAACACAACCTCAAAGGAATGGACCCTGTCCAAAAGGTTGGAGCACCGCTCCACCGCAGCCCGACCTATGGCTCGCGCTTTTCCTCAAGCGCTATGGCTCCCAGCCCTCCCACCTCGAGCCCCTTCTGGCATCGGTGAGAGTCAAGCGTGACGAGACACCTGGAGATCCTAGGCTGGTGAGTATACACGTTTCACACTCCCCAAAATCAGTGAAACTTTAAAAGATCAAACAAAACCTTTAGGCAGGTGCATCGGAGTTCAACCATTTGAGCGCTTGCTTGCGGTGAGCATTATAACGGAGAACGGCAGTCTCATCAAAGATCTGAAATTGCGCGGTTCGTAAAGTCGTTCTGAGGAGATCACTATCCATGACTTTGGTCAAAGCATCTGCTAACATTATTGTTGTCGGAAGCCATCTGAAATGTGCATGTTCTGCACACCGTTCTCTAATAAGGAGAACTTCCAGAGTCGTTCTGTATTCCTCACACGTGGGGATTGCAGTTCTAGTTACCAAATCAAAAAGGGATTTGCAATCCGTGGTTATGATAGCCCGGTTGAGTTGTTTCAATCCTTCCGGAGGACATCTCCAGTTGAACTCAGGGACGAGCAAACATCCCCAAAGAAGTCGCATCCAGCTGAGTCGGTCGACACTCTGGCTCATGGAAAAGGCTTCAGCTGAAATGGTGGACCTCACAACTCTTGAGATCTTCTTTGAGGACCAAATCAAAGGTGACAGTGGACCTTTGCGGTTCTGATCGAGACACGTGGACGTGGCGCAGATCAAATGACCTTGGAATGAACTTAAATTCTTTGGGCTGGCAAAGGAAGCATCTCCGAACGAAATGTGAGTTACGTCCTCTGGGGTTATGGATCGAAACCAAATCTTAGTGTCACTATGTTCCTGAGCTTCACGCAAAACCTTGTTTGCCAAAAGCATGGTTCCAACAGTTGGTTTGGACAGTTGGCATTGGACTTCACCTAGTCTGGAAGCGATTTCAGGTCTTGTGTGTGTTACGGCGTATTGAATGCTTCCAATGATCCCTCTAAGTTTTGACAACTCGGTTTCCGTTAAGTCGGATTCTGGTTGTTCACGGCGGTTCTTTCCGATATCAATGGCCATGATACCATGGACATACGCTTCTTGGGAAGCAGAGATGGATCCATCAGGTTGCTGCTCCAAGTCAATACCCGTGAATTTGAATTTACGCTCTTTGAATGAACCGAAGGGTAACCGTCGTTCTAGTTCCTTGAGTTGCTTCCGAAAGAACTGGTCACCACCACCTAGGCCATCATCCACGTGGGTTCCTAACACTCCGTGCAAAACAAAGTCTTTGCCCTTTCCAGATGACAAAAAATGGACACATGGTTCAAGAGGGTGAGTCTGGAAGTTAAGTTCACGGAGGTGTTTGGTCAGTTCCCGGTAGAAAAGCAAAGGAGCATCTACACGTCCGTAGGCGTTTCCAACTAGTTGGCAGATCTCCGTGGGCTTGAGCTGCATTTTTCGACGGAGTTCTTCTGGAGGTTCCATTGCTAACGGATTCGACGCATCGGCCTTTCCCCTTAAGAAAGCAGTCGTGATGTCAAAAGAGCACAGGTTCCATTTCATTGAAGCGATGCATTGTACCACATAGTCCGTGTTACTTAGGCCAGAACAGTTACTTATAAATTACTTACAAACTTACTTATACTGACTTATGACCTTACTACTTAGACCTACTTATAACCATACTTATAAGTAGGCTAAGTAGAGCGCAGGTGTTTGACAAGAGGTTTTTTTTTGAGGTTGTAAATTGTTATGTTTTAAGAAATTTTTTGAAAATCCTGGGTTTTTTCATTGTGTGAGCGCTCTTCTAAAACCATCCCTGTTTGTAGACCAAAGAGGGGCGAGGCAGCCGCCTGTTGAACATGTCAGTTCCTACAGCGGTGACACCGCCACCTAAAGCGGACACACCGCCAACCCCACATAATTGAACGCAACAGCAACAAAACAAAGCGGTGTGTGGGTCAGCGTGGTAATTCTTTTTCACAGCAAGGTAGTGAGCACATCACCGTCCCATCGCCACCACGGAGGCAGCGTCCATGACTCGCTCAAAGCAGGTGTGAACAAATGGGACTCTTGGCTTTGCCAAACGCGTCCCCAGCCACATGACTTCAGGCACTGCAGCTTCTTCAACCAAAAGCTATATGCGGTTTGCTCTCCAAAAACGATTTCCTCCACCACACCAGCAATACCAATGGCCTAGAGAGAGCTTTCCTACAGAAACCGAGGCAATCAAGACACAAGGGAGTTCCTTTTTCCTTTGGTGAACGCTCAACGTGGCCAGACATCTGACGACTACATCTGACGACACTTGACCTCACCCTGACTACACACGATGTCAGAACGAAGTCAGGCCCGACGACACCCTGACGACACACGCGATGTCAGAACGAAGTCAGGCCCGACGACAACCTGACGACACACGATGTCAGAACGAAGTCAGGCCCGACGACACCCTGACGACACACGATGTCAGGACGAAGTCAATATGTTTTTAATTGCCCGACGACATCTGACGACACACGATGTCAGAACGAAGTCAGGCCCGACGACACCCTG